CAAACCTTTCCGGGGAGAGGAAAACCTTTCTCTCAACTGAATCAATCACCGCCCCTAAATGAACTATTCGAGTGGAAGGGGTAAGCTGGCTCTTTTCCCAATTTACAAGGAAACCATGATCCCGAAGTACTGAAAGAGTGGTTCTGGTGTCCCTCTCAGCTTGGCTTTGGGTTGGAGAAAGAATGAGAATGTCGTCAAGATAGCAGTAAATACGGACAGGGAGTTGTCTGCAGTGAGCTGCTAAGGCTGCCAAAACCTTGGTGAAGGTCCTGGGAGCCGAGGCTAACCCAAAGGGAAGGGCTACATATTGATAATGACAGCCATTGTAATAAAATCTCAGATATCTAGAAAAGGAAGGGTGAATGGGTATATGAAGATATGCCTCAGAGAGGTCAATGGAAGTGAGCCAGTCTCCTTCCCTGGTGCCCTGTAGGATGGACTGAAGGGTATGCATTTTGAATTTATGATGAACAATATAACGATTGAGCCTTTTTAAATCCAAAATGGGCCTCCAACCCCAGAGTACTGAGGGACTAGAAAGAGGAGGGAATGGAATCCCTCTCCTCGTTGAGAAGGTGGCACGGGCTGTATGGCCTTAATATCCAACAGATGTTTAATGGCGGTCTCTAGGAGAGCGCGCTTGGTATGATCCCTGGAAATGGCAGAAACCATGAAGTGTTCGGGTGGAAGGACTTGGAACTGAAGGGAAAAACCAAATTGGACCGTGTCTTTAACCCAAGCATCAGATGTAGATGCTTCCCGCTGGCTCGCGAAGAATTTAAGGCGACCGCCAATGGGCAAGGGGGCTGAAAACCTATCTTGGACGGTGAGGAGTCTTACCTGCCGAACCCCAGAAGGGTCTTCTGTAACTACCCCCCCTCTGGATCTGTCTCCCGAATCGCCCTGATCTCGATAGGCCGGGCGAAAGGTTGGAGATCTCTGATAACGGGGGGAGAAGGGAGTTTGAAAGGGGGTGTGGAAGGAGCCCCTTCGAAAGGGCTGAAAGGATCTGGACTCTTGCCTACGAAAAAGAGCCGAAAGAAATTTCTTTTTGTTCCGGCTCTCCATCAACAATGGTTCCAGGGCCAGACCAAATAATTTATTTCCGGAGATGGGAGCTGAGGCCAGTTTCGACTTGTTTTTAATGTCGGCCTGCCAATGCCTAAGCCAAAGCAGCCATCGGGCCGTAACATGAGAGGATATGGCCCGAGAGGAGAACTTCACAGAGTGAAAATTTGCATCGGCCGCAAACTCAGCTGCTGCTGTTAGTTTTGCAATATCTTGATGGGCCCTAGTATTAGATGGAGGAACATGCTGCTTCAGCTGTCGAAGCCACCTAATAGACGACCTAGTAAAAAAGGATGAGGCGGTGGCAAACCGAATGGCCCAAGCATCAAACTGGTGCGCCCGTCGCAGCGCCATCTCTGCTTTCTTGTCCTCCGGCCTTAAGGCTTTCAGAGAGTCTGTGGGGTTAGACGAGGATGCCAGTCTGATAATAGGGTCATCCACCTCGGGGGTGTCTAGCATGGTGGAGAAGTCTATGTCGAGATTAAAAAATCTCTTGTCCTGCCCTGACGGGGTGGAGGGGAGACTGGAAGAGGCTAACTGTTTCGCCACTAGATCGGAGAAGATTGGAGGGACTGACACAACTTCGGCCTCCACCGCTGGCTGCCTGAAAATGGCATCCTCTGGAGCCCCAGAGGCTGCTGGCGAGGAATCAGAAGATGGCTGGGGAGTTAGGCCTGAGATATTCTTTGCTTTGAACAGCAAGGACTTAAATAAATGAGGCTTGAACAGGCCTACAAGGGAGGGCTGGTCGGGGGAGATGCCCTCATCCTCCGACATGTCCCCTTCCAGCTGTTCCACTTCGGAAAAGGGCTCAGAATAATGGAGGGACCCCCTCTCTGACCCTTCCTCTGCCCCGTAGGGTGCAAAGGCCATTTCCTCTTCCTCGTCCTCCTCTTCCTCCCCTTCTGGGAAAGGAGGGTCCCCTTGGGAAGGTACCTGTCTGTGGAGAGTCACCGGTCTGGGTAGAGGTTCTCCGGAGGCAGAATCAATCTCGGGTGCCATTGCTTGAGAGGCTGTCTTGGACAACTGTTGCATACCTTCCGCGATCCCCTGGCGGATGGCAAGCTGCATCCATTCCTTAACGCTGTCAGGGATGACGCTAGTTGAAGGGTCTTCTGGGCATAGGCAAGCAGCGGTGGGGTGAAGGTCACCTCTGGAGTTCGAGTGGCCCGGGGGCTCTGGACAGGTGTGTTGTGCCTGTAGAGAGAAGGTTGTTCTGGCAAAGGGGGAGGTTGGTTAGAGGTAGAGGGAATAGAAGCTGGAATTACAGAATGAGAGTCCCTGGAGCGCCTATCAAACTCCTTTTCCAGAGCTCTGTGGCGCCTCAGGGCGTCCCTTTCAGAGGCTGTGGTAGGTTCCTTGGCCCTTTTGCGCAGATGGTGAGTTTTAGACTTAGCCTTTAGGGAAGGCCCTCTGGGATTTTCCTCTGCCATTATAACCAAAAGGTAGAAACAAGGTATATTGAATATGAAGGCGGTTGGCACGCCTAGAAATGCAGTCCACAATGGGAGCCGGGTATGCTATAGTTGAGCCACGTCCCCCTTTTGGAAATTTTTTTAGATAGTGATATATATATATATATATCACTATTTATTTATTTATTTTGGAAAAAGGAAAAAAACACCTCTAACGGTTTACAATAAAAAAACTGCACCAAATTATCAAAAAAAGGAACTAAATTATTACTAAAATATAAATGGTTTTTTGTTTTGTTTTTTAAATAGAGAAAAATTAAGATGAAAAAACTATCTCTAAACAACCAATTTAACCAAATGAACGCTGAGGCCAAACTTTAAACACGAAAAAATATACCAGGAAAGAAATTGTAAAGGCCTCTGAGGCTGCCTCCCAACAACCTGGGAAGTAGGTGCCTGTCTTCGCCTCTGAGCAGGCTGCGGAATGCCAACAATTAAAATGGGGCAACAGGGCACAAAGCCACAACACCCCTTCTGAAATAAAAGCTCCCACAGGCCTGTAGGGCCTGCTATGGGGCTCTATCAACGTCGCAGCAATTTGAGCCTGGGCAAAATGGCGCCCACCACGAGGCGCACCTAAAAGTGGCTGGACGCAGGGTTCAGAGACAGAATAGCCCTAAGAAAAAGGCAGTCAGCTAAAAGGATTGAGCTGAACAAACAAGGGCTAGGAAAAGGCATTCGTGGGGGGAAGACACAACGCGCACTAGGAGAGCGTGATCGCAAGCCACTGCTTAAAAGCAGGAATGGCTTGAAACGGCAGGAAAGAGGGAAGGGGGGGTGGGGGGAGCAAAGGCTCTAAAACCCCTCTATCTCCCCCCTGAGGGGCAAAACTTCGCTCTTTACACACAACTAAAACTCAAAAGCGCAGGGACCAAGGAAAGAAGCCAAAACGAAACGATCAAACCTGAAAGTGAAACAGAAATCCTGAAACGACCAAGGAGAATGATCTATAGCTGCCTGTCTCTTGCGAGGCTGAGCTAAAAACTGGGGAACGCATGGAGAAGCCACGTGGTGGGAGGAGTGTTCCTCAATTATAGCTCAGCCTGCAATTGGTGAAGACTAGAGCACCTCCCACTCTCTGGATGCTCGAAGCAGCTCGATTGAGAATAGAAAGGCCTCAGATTTGATCCATCTAAAAAAAAATTGGATGCAAAGCCTATGTGCATATCCCAAAAGGGAAATGTACAAAATGGGATACGTGCAAAGGACAGTGTGCTTGTGGGATACAGAATTCTACACCAAGACACAAACAAGATAACCATCACCAGAGGTGTAATTGTTGATGAAACTTCAGTGGGTTCAAAATTTCATGAACTAACAAAAATATTCAAAACTGAGGGAAATTTCACATCAGTGTCACATGAAGATAAGCAACAAAGTGACATAAAAATATAAATTAACACAGACTATCCAAATACTGTACAAGAAAACGTGCCACAAGAGGCGTCAATCAGGAAATCCACCAGAAGCAACAAAGGCATCCCAGCCAAACCTCTGTCCTATGTTGCTGGTGTATCATTAAAACCAGTGTCAGATTCATGGGTTAAGTTGCAAAGACTTCCAACCCATGAGAAACTAAAGTGGATCAGTGCTGCTGATGAAGAGATAACATCTTTTAACAAACTGCAGTAATGGACATTTTCAGCAGTACTTCATGGAATAACATGAGGAGTACTTGTCGAATGGGGGTGCTGGAATACAGTGTTCATGTATTTTGTACAACTACAGCAGTATTCAGTAGAGATATATATTCTTCACCCAGTAGATGTCAGTGTTATAAGTTTGTAATTGCATCTATGGTATACTCTATGCTAGAGGTGTCAAACCCTAGTTCTCTAACTATTTAAGCTTTAGTCAAGTGTAGTCTTGGCAAAACAAATGGCCTTTGCTAGATGACTGATTGGGACAGTTGACATTTGGCAACTGGCACATATTTATGATGGTTGCATTGTCCCAGGGTCATGTGATCATCTTTTGTGACCTTGTGACAAGCAAAGGCAACAGGGAAGTCAGATTCACTTAACAATTGTGTTACTAACTTATCAACTTCAGAGTTTGCTTAACAACAGTGGCAAGAAAGGTTGTACAATGGGGCAAAATTCACTTAACAAATGTCTCATTCAGCAACAGAAATTTTGGACTCTGTAGTGGTCCTAAGTTGAGGACTATCTGTATTCTATGTTCCTCCATATCCAAATTTGAAGTGCAATACTGTAAAGAATACAGTCTGCCAAACCATAAACTGTAAACAGAACATCCACTACATGAACATTGCTGCTTTCATTGTATGCTCCCTTTCTGCCTTTTTGCTACTTACATTCCCATGCAAAATTAAATATGTTTTAACTTTGCATCCCATGTGCAAAATAGCTACGTTTAAAGTGACAAGAAATTTTGGCTTAACATTAGTGAGTAGCTATCATATTATGAGATAAATAAGGAGCATTGTATATGTACATAAGTCCTCTGTAGAGCTGGGGATCAAACCACCCATGGATTCATAGAGTTCTTCATCACAACTGGGGTTCAGCGAACATTTCATCAGTAGGTCAGCAGATACATGAGCCATGGACTCATAAATAGAGCCATCTTCCTCCCCCTGCATTAACTCCTCTTTTATGTGAGTTTTCAGCATATCTGCTGTCTCCTGCAAGAAAAAGAAAAGCAAATAGTCTCTCTCTAGGACAGTAATGATTGCTTGATTAATGCAATCTGTTCAAAACATAGTCCTACTGAATCTAATTTAAAAGTAGCAAGTGTATCATGTATAAAACAACAGAATCATAGAATTACAGAGTAGGAAGAGACACAAAGATCATCTAGCCAGCTGCAAAGTGTAGGAATCAGTTAAACTTTCCATGAGAGATGACTACCAGGCCCTTCTTAAACACTACTATGATACCAGATGCAGTGAAAAGGACCTCTCCATTCCTGCTCTGGATTCTCCCTGTTTGTGGGCTCTGATAGCTGCCTAAGCCGCCCTGGAGGGGAGGCGAAGCTAAGGAGGGATGCTCTGTGAGGCTACGGGAGAGATCGCAATCTTGTGTTGAGTCTCGGAGCTTTTTCCCTCTACGCCATGACAAAGAGAAGAGACACGGCCAAGATGGCTGCCATGAAGTTGGGACAGCCATGGAACATCTAAGAAAAGTGCTGGAGTGAAGTTGGTGAACAGATGGAACTGGGTGAGAAGAATCTTTTTTTATTCAAATCTTTAAACCCCAAAGAGAATCTGGAAAAGGATCCCCAATATCTTTAACCTAGCAGTGACCTGGCACATTGAAAAAATATTAAAAATGAAGGAGGAACTAGATGGAAAAAGACAGAAAAAATTGCTAAAAATATAGAAAATTGAACATCTAAACTGAACAGGCATTTAACTAGACAGGCATTTTGAAACTCTGGAAGTGTTTACCCAAAAATTAACACCACCTTTATATCGTGGAAAAATGGAGGAAATGGCTTGATATTGAAATTTAAATAAACAGCACCACCTGTTGATGAAAGGAAGAATAGCATATTCCCAAAACTGTTCATTGGAGAATTAAACACAGAAGAAAATATTGCTGAAAAGACCTCTGAGGATTAAGCATAAAATTGAAAGATTTAAGGTGCATTTCAGAGGTACAGGCAGACTAAACTAGGGATAAAGAAACAAGAACATTGGACTGTTAGAGAAGTTTTTGTAGATTTGAATATATGATTTTTGGACTATTGGATAAAAGAGGGATTTAATAAAACTCAACAAAATGCTTCATCAAGAAGAATGGACTGGAATTTGGGAAGAGGTGACGTCGGCAATTCAAAGTACAAGGGGGACACTGACAAGACATTGCCAGAAAATTATGGGAAGACTGGAGAACATAGGTGAAAAGCTGGAAAATACAATGCAAAAGTCAGTGAGTGTTCAAGGCGCCCAAGAAAAGGAAGAGTCAGCTGAAAGAGGAGATGAAAAAATGGAACAGACAAAACAAATGGGACAAGAGGAAAAAAAAGAGATAATAAAAACAATAGGGACGGATGATATAAGCCTAGCGGAGCTGGCAAGGTCATCTCAGAACCACTGCACCATATCTTTCAAAAATCCTGGAGCACCAGAGAACTACCAGAAGACTCGAAAAGAGCTGATGTGGTTCCCATCTTCAAAAAAGGGAAAAAAACAAACCCAGGAAACTACAGACCAATCAGCCTAGCATCAATACCTGGGAAGATACTGGAAAAGATAATAAAAAACCCAGATCTACCAACATCTAGAAACAAGTAAAGTAATAACTAGCAGTGAGCATGGTTTTGTTAAGAACAGATCATGCCAAACCAATCTTATTTCATTCTTCAACACAGTAACTAAATTAGTAGACCAGCAAAATACTGTGGACATAATATATTTAGATTTCAGCAAGGCATTCGACAAAGCAGACCACAACCTACTTCTTAGCTAGAAAAAAAGCTAGAAAAAAGTGGAATAGATAGCACCACCACTAGATGGACTCGCAACTGGCTGACAAACTGTACTCAATGAGTAGTCCTTAATGGGTCTAAGTCTACATGGAGGGAAGTAAGCAGTGGGGTGCCACAAGGTTCCATCTTAGGCCCAGTACTCTTTAATATCTTCATTAATGACTTAGATGAGGGAATAGAAGGGGAACTTACCAAATTTGCACAATGATACTAAGCTGGCAGGAATAGCTAACACCCAAGAAGATAGGCTCAAGATCCAGAGGGATCTTGACAGACTAGAACGCTGGGCCATATCTAACAAAATAAATTCAATGTAGAGAAAAGTAATGTCCTACACTTAGGCAAGAAAAAACAAAAGTACACATATAGACTGGGTGAAACCAGGCTTAATAGCAGTAACTATGACAGGGATCTTGGAGTCTTAGTGGACAACCAGCTAAATATGAGCCAGCAGTGTGCAGCAGCAGCCAAAAAAGCTAATGCAATCCTAAGTTGTATTAACAGAGGGATACAATCAAGATCAAGGGAAGTACTATTATAAAGCCTTGGTAAGACCACACCTAGAGTACTGCATCCAGTTTTGTTCACCACATTACAAAAAAGATGTTGAGACTCTAGAAAGAGTACAGAGAAGAGCAATCGGGATGATTAGGGGACTGGAGACTAAAACATATGAAGAACGGTTACAGGAACTGGGCTTGGCTAGTCTAGTAAAGAGAAGGACCAGGGGAGACATGATAGCAGTCTTCCAATATTTGAGGGGCTGCCACAGAGAGGAGGAAGGGGTCAAGCTATTTTCTAAAGCGCCTGTAGGCCAGACAAGGAATAATGGATGGAAACTGTACAAGGAGAGATTTAACCTGGAAATAAGGAGAAACTTTCTGACAGTGAGATCAATCAACCAATGGGACACCTTGCCCTCGGAAGTTGTGGGAGCTCCATCACTTGAGACTTTCAAGAAGACATTGGACTGCCATTTGTCAGAAATGGTGTAGGGTCTCCCGCTTGGGTGGGGGGTTGGACTAGATGACCTACAAGGTCCCTTCCAACTCTGATTATCTGTTATCTGTTAAGGAAAATATAAAATAAATTTGGGAAGATTTTTATGGAGAGTCAGGGGCAAGAGCAGATATTTTGAAAACTAGATCATGGAAAAGGGAAGAGAAGGGAGAAAAACTTAAAATGAGTAGCCAAGATGTAGGCACAGATAGAAACAAAGACCCAAGAGGCAAGCTAAAAAATGAATAATTAAAGCTTTAAGGTGGATAAGAGATGATGATTAGAAAAGGGAATTTAATTAAATAAAGTAAATAAATTAAATATAATAAAAAAGAATAGAGGGAATTTAGAGAAAGGGGGTTAATAAAATACACATTTTTATATAACAAGGGAAAGTAGTAATAAGGGAGGAAATTATATTTAATGAACGTAATGTGTGTGTATATTAGTTAAAGGTAATAAATATGATCAATATTTTATTTGTATTAAAATGCATGATATGCAGAAGGTGATTGCTATAAAATACATTGTAAGATAGAATATTTAAATAATGAGGTATTATAAATAGAATAAGTATACAGTGAAAGATTTTAATTTGACATAACCAATGATATTATTATTAGAAGTCTATTAGTTTGAAAAATGAAATAAATATGGATAATATTCTATAAAAGATGGTACGATTAAGTATATTTAAATAATATGATGATTAGCATAAGCAGAATAGGGTGATTGTCATGAAGATAATATGTTGAAATATATTAACAGTAAAAGATATGATACTTAAGAAAGGGTGGCTGGTATAAAAATAACATGGAAATAATGGATAATTGAACAATGAAAGATTATAAATTATAAATTAATACAAATATGTACATTATTATTTGAATTCTATAAGCTTGTTAGATGGAACAAATATGATTAATATCAATTTATTTGTATTGAAATGTATGACACTCAGGTACCACATTCACACACTGATATGTTTGTAAAAAAAAATAAAAAAACTTTAGAAAAAAACACCTCAAAGATGGAGAACTGTCTCAGGTGCACAGTGGTGGGGCCCTGCGCATAAGGCAGCAGCCCAGGGACAAGGCGCCAGTGCAGCACCGGAGGGTCAGGGAGGGTGCTGAAGTGAGCAGGTGTCTTGCCTGCATTTCCCATGCTGGCTGCCCATTCCTGGCCAGAGCTGGAATGCTGCTGCATGTAAATGCCAGTAGATGCCAGCTTTCCCTCCGGTGGGTCTGGGAAGCTGCTGGAGAGAGATGGGCCTATTTCAGTGCCTGGTGCCCAGATGTCCTTGCTTCCCCCAAGCATTTCTTTGCCTACCTGATTTCCATCTCTGTCGCGTTTCTCCACTGTGTTTCCCGCCATCGTATGCAGGGAAACAAAAGTTTATGGGACTTTTTAAAAAAAGTTAAATCAATCAAGTCCAACTTCTCACACAAAAAAAAGATCTTGCAAAGTTGGACTTGATTGATTGAACTTTTTTTTTTTAGTCCCACAAACTTGTTTCCCTGCACATGGTGAAAAATGCAATGGAGACACCTGACAGAGCTGGAAATCAGATAGGTAAAGAAATGCTTGGGGGAAGTGGGGACATCTGGGCGGTAGAGCAAGCTCCACAGCACGGCGCTGTAATGAAACGGAAAATGGAATGCCTGGTGTGAGGGA